ATAATTTCAGATAGCAAAATTTGGCATCACAATTTTTTTTATTCGAGATGAAAATCCTAAAATATATGTATGTGGTTGTGGAGACGAGCCGTGACCTGACCAGAGTCAGGCCCAGCAACGTTTTCTGGCCACCCTCACCGTTAGTCCACCTCCCTCCTCCCCCAATCCTCTCCCAAACACCCCGCTTCCCTGTCCCATCCTCAACCCTTCCCCTTCCTCATCCCAACCTCAACCCTCATCTTTCCCACCTCTCTCCCTGACACCCTTTCTTCCTCCTCCTGCAACTTTTCCAGTTATCTGAGTCAGGACTTCATCAATATTTCACCGCCCACCCGCGGAGCACTCCCCGGGGTGTGACATCAAAAGAGAAATCCTTTATAGAGAGAGAAAAATATTTAGATTATCAGTTTGTAAGATCAAAGAGATTCACATTATTTATGAAGGGGTAAGCATAAATAAACACATACTCCTATAAATAAAAACAATCAGGCCATTCCAAAATTTCCCAAAAATTCCATCCTAGTGTAATATTACACAATACTGTATAACCACAGGACGTCCTCAAACAGACCGCTAGAGTATTTTCCTTAAAATTCCTGAGAATGTTCCTTGACTGAGGAGCTGACCTGGGTAGACTTCCGTGTCCTGCGGCTTTAATCTCTACCGGGAAGAACGCCCAAGATATGTGTTTGGAAGAAGCTTTAAAGATCACAAAATATTGTGTCTTCAGAATAATGACTCCGTGTCTTCAGAATAATGACTCCGAAGAACTTCTCGTTCTTCTCATGCTCATTTTATCTTTTTACTTTTTTTCTTCTTATCTTCATTTTGTATCTGTTTTTCCACTATCTTACGAATATTTCGTTTCTGTTATATTCGTATCTTTCATTCCAATCATTTCTCTCACATACTTTGATTTTCACATTAATTTTCATTTTGTTCTGTCCTCTCATTGCTCCCTTTTTTTATTAATTAATTTAATTTACCATTTTCCTTTATCTTTCTGGACAGCACACAATGAAGGCAAACTACCTCCCTAAAGATTAGAGATAAATACCTTGGCAGTGGACTTAACAACAAACCAAACTCCAGAGATGCATATATATATATAGGATAACGACAGCAGCATACACCCCGCTAGTAAAAGTCAGAATCTCATTCAGGAACGTAAATAAGGAGGCATTTAGGTCGTTGTGCAACACCTACGTGTGACCAGTTCTAGAGTATGCAGCCCCCATCGTAGAGACCCCCATCGTAGAGACCCCCCATCGTAGAGACCCCCATCGTAGAGACCCCCATTTAAAAAAAAACATAACGAAGCTTGGAAAAGGTTCAAAAGTATGCAACAAAGCTCGTCCCAGAATTGCGAGAGATGGGATATAAAGAGAGACTGCCGGAACTAAACACGACAGCTCTTGAAAACAGGAGAGTGTGGAGAGACGATGGAGACTAATAACCTACTTGGAATGACTAAGTGAAAATAGGAAATGTTCACAATATATATTAATAGAACAAGAAGGAATGGTGGAAGCTTGAGATGCGTCATGTAGATATTAGAAAGTTTTCTTTTAGCGAAATATTTGTAAGGAAATGGAATATACTAAAGGAGTAGAATGTAGAGGCCAACTCCACTCATAATTTTAAAAGTGTATATGACAGGGAAATCGGTCAGAAGACATTGCATTAGACAACAGGTGGATAGAAATGCGGGGCACACACACACACACACAAACACACATATGCAAACAAGGAACGCAAAACACGTAAATACACACAAGGTACGCGAACTAGGGGACACAGGTGAAAACTGAGTACCCAAATGAGCCTCAGGAACGTTAGAAAGATTTTTTTTCAGTGTCAGAGTAAGTAACACGTAAAATGCATTAGGAAGTGATGTGGTGGAGGTTGACTCCATACAGAGCTTTAAATGTAGATATGACAGAGCCTAGTAGGCTCAGGAATCTGTATGACAGTTGAGAGGCGGGACCAATGAGCCGGAGCTCAATCCCCACAAGCCAGAATCGGGGTAAGCATAAATAAACACATACTCCTATAAATAAAAACAATCAGGCCATTCCAAAATTTCCCAAAAATTCAATCCTAGTGTAATATTACACAATACTGTATAACCACACGACGTCCTCAAACAGACCGCTAGAGTATTTTCCTTAAAATTCCTGAGAATGTTCCTTGACTGAAGAGCTGACCTGGGTAGACTTCCGTGTCCTGCGGCTTTAATCTCTACCGGGAAGAACGCCCAAGATATGTGTTTGGAAGAAGCTTTAAAGATCACAAAATATTGTGTCTTCAGAATAATGACTCCGTGTCTTCAGAATAATGACTCCGAAGAACTTCTCGTTCTTCTCATGCTCATTTTATCTTTTTACTTTTTTTCTTCTTATCTTCATTTTGTATCTGTTTTTCCACTATCTTACGAATATTTCGTTTCTGTTATATTCGTATCTTTCATTCCAATCATTTCTCTCACATGCTTTGATTTTCACATTAATTTTCATTTTGTTCTGTCCTCTCATTGCTCCCTTTTTTTATTAATTAATTTAATTTACCATTTTCCTTTATCTTTCTGGACAGCACACAATCAAGGCAAACTACCTCCCTAAACCTATTAGAGATAAATACCTGGGAGAGGACCTAACGCCAAACCTAACTCCAGAGATGCTTATAATAGGATAACGACAGAAGCATACACCCCGCTAATAAAAATCATAATCTCATTCAGGAACGTAAATAAGGAGGCATTTGGATCGCTGTACAACACCTGCGTGTAACCAGTTGTAGAGTATGCAGCCCCCATCGTAGAGACCCCCATCGTAGAGACCCCCATCGTAGAGACCCCCATCGTAGAGACCCCCATTTAAAAAAAAACATAACGAAGCTTGGAAAAGGTTCAAAAGTATGCAACGAATTTCGTCCTAGAATTGCGAGAGATGGGATATGAAGAGAGACTGAAGGAACAAAACATGTCGGCTCTTGAATAAGAGGAGTGTGTGGAGAGACAATAGAGCCTTATAAACTACTTGGTATAATTAAGTGAACATAGGAAAAGTTCACAATATATATTAATATAACAAGAAGGAATGGTGGAAGCTTGAGATGCGTCATGTAGATATTAGAAAGTTTTCTTTTAGCGAAATATTTGCTAGGAAATGGAATATACTAAAGGAGTAGAATGTAGAGGCCAACTCCACTCATAATTTTAAAAGTGTATATGACAGGGAAATCGGTCAGAAGACATTGCATTAGACAACAGGTGGATAGAAATGCGGGACACACACACACACACACAAAAACACACATATGCAAACAAGGAACGCAAAACACGTAAACACACAAAAGGTACGCGAACAAGGGGACACAGGTGGAAACTGAGTACCCAAATGAGCCTCAGGAACGTTAGAAAGATTTTGTTTTCAGTGTCAGAGTAAGTAACACGTAAAATGCATTAGGAAGTGATGTGGTGGAGGTTGACTCCATACAGAGCTTTAAATGTAGATATGACAGAGCCTAGTAGGCTCAGGAATCTGTATGACAGTTGAGAGGCGGGACCAATGAGCCGGAGCTCAATCCCCACAAGCCAGAATCGGTGAGTACAAATAGCTGAGTACACACGCACACACATACACACACATGCACACACATACACACACACACACTCAAACACTGTACTGTCATTCTGACATTGCACTGTCGTGTGGTCTAGTGGTTAAGGTACCAGGTACGCCAAGGTGCATAGTGCTCCTGGCTGTCTGGGTTCGAATCCTTCTGGAGTGTGGAGTTTTCAGTTTATAATATATATATATATATATATATATATATATATATATATATATATATATATATATATATATATATATATATATATATATATATATATATATATATATATATATATATATATATATATATATATATATATATATATATATATATATATATATATATGAATGAAAACTCACACCCCAGAAGTGACTCGAACCCATACTCCCAGAAGCAACGCAACTGGTAACTACGGGGCGCCTTAATCCGCTTGACCATCACGGCCGTCAAAAGGAAGTGATAGCCGAGGCTATTTGAGCCACTTCCTTTTGACGGCCGTGATGGTCAAGCGGATTAAGGCGCCCCGTAGTTACCAGTTGCGTTGCTTCTGGGAGTATGGGTTCGAGTCACTTCTGGGGAGTGAGTTTTCATTCGCATATAGTCCTGGGGACCATTCAGGCTTGTTTGCATATATATATATATATATATATATATATATATATATATATATATATATATATATATATATATATATATTATTAAATATGACCGAAAAAGTAAGATTAATAATTCTAACACGAATTTTCTCAATCTTTCGTACATTTCTTTTCACTGTTGGAGGTAATTCAAAAATCAATTCTCCAAAATTCATTTTTATTTCTAGTCTGACGCGACACGAGCGCGTTTCGTAAAACTTATTACATTTTCAAAGACTTTAGTTTACAAATACACAACTGAATAGAACTTACACATCTTCGATTTTGTTTATATCTACATTTGAGTGAGGTGGATGGGGTGAGGTGGCATTAATAGGGTATTAACTTCATCAACACAAGACAGAACAAGAGGTGGCATTAATAGGGTATTAATTTCATCAACACAAGACAGAAGACGAAAAAATGGGTATTGAAATAGAAGTGATTGTAGAAAGCCTATTGGTCCATATTTCTTGATGTTTCCATATTGGAGCGGAGTCTTGAGGTGGGTAGAATATAGTTGTGCATTAATTGGCTGTTGATTGCTGGTGTTGACTTCTTAATGTGTAGTGCCTCGCAAACGTCAAGCCGCCTGCTATCGCTGTATCTATCGATGATTTCTGTGTTGTTTACTAGAATTTCTCTGGCGATGGTTTGGTTGTGGGAAGAGATTATATGTTCCTTAATGGAGCCCTGTTGTTTATGCATCGTTAAACGCCTAGAAAGAGATGTTGTTGTCTTGCCTATATACTGGGTTTTTTGGAGCTTACAGTCCCCAAGTAGGCATTTGAAGGCATAGACGACGTTGGTCTCTTTTAAAGCGTTCTGCTTTGTGTCTGGAGAGTTTCTCATGAGTAGGCTGGCCGTTTTTCTGGTTTTATAGTAAATCGTCAGTTGTATCCTCTGATTTTTGTCTGTAGGGATAACGTTTCTATTAACAATATCTTTCAGGACCCTTTCCTCTGTTTTATGAGCTGTGGAAAAGAAGTTCCTGTAAAATAGTCTAATAGGGGGTATAGGTGTTGTGTTAGTTGTCTCTTCAGAGGTTGCATGGCGTTTCACTTTCCTTCTTATGATGTCTTCGACGAAACCATTGGAGAAGCCGTTGTTGACTAGGACCTGCCTTACCCTACAGAGTTCTTCGTCGACTTGCTTCCATTCTGAGCTGTGGCTTAGAGCACGGTCGACATATGCGTTAACAACACTCCTCTTGTACCTGTCTGGGCAGTCGCTGTTGGCATTTAGGCACATTCCTATGTTCGTTTCCTTAGTGTAGACTGCAGTGTGGAAACCTCCGCTCTTTTCCATGACTGTTACATCTAGAAAGGGCCGCTTCCCATCCCTTTCCATCTCGTAAGTGAAACGCAGCACAGAACTGTGCTCAAATGCCTCCTTCAGCTCCTGCAGATGTCTGACATCAGGTACCTATGTAAAAATGTCGTCAACATACCTGCAGTATATGGCCGGTTTCAAGTTCATGTCGACTAAGACTTTTTGCTCGATGGTACCCATGTAGAAGTTTGCAAACAGGACACCTAGGGGAGAACCCATGGCGACCCCATCTACTTGCTTATACATGTGCCCATCCGGGCTCAAGAAGGGTGCCTCTTTAGTACAAGCTTGGAGTAGTTTCCTTAGAATATTTTCGGGTGTGTCAAGAGGAGTACAGGCTGGATCACGATACACTCTGTCGGCTATCA